TATTAGCATGGAACCGGTTGGAAATGACGCAGCACGGAGTTGAAGCAGTGACCCTATGTGATATCAGGCATTGAAGGTGGTGTCTTAACTTACTACATCACAATGCTGTCCCCCAAATCCAAGTTTCTCTCTGGTATATTTTTGAAAGACTATTTAACATGTTTGCAATGCGATGTTTTCTGTCATGGAGTATGTTCTCATACTTCATTTATCTGTATGTAATGTTTGTGTTTTTCTCATCATCTGTGGCATTTTATCTTTTGCTTTGAATTTCATCAGTTTTGTCTACATTTTACATTTATCTTACTAGTAGTTCTCTCCATTTCCTTGATCTGTTGAGTGCTTCATTTACTTTGGGAAGTTCTCAGGTAACATCCTTTATTTAAAAATGTTCATTTATTTATTTATTTGAAAGTTTCAGTTACACAGAGAAGAAGAGAGGCAGAGAGAGTTAAATCTTCCATCCAATGGGACACATCCCAGGATGCTGTGATGGCCTGGGCTGGGCCAGGCAGAAGCCAGGAGCCAGAACTTTATCTTAAAGATCTCCCATCTGGGCATCAGGTGCCAAGGACTCGGGCAACCTTTGACTGCTTTTTTCAGGCATGTTTGCAGAGAGCTGGGTTGAAGTGCACAAATTGGTGCTTTGGATGTGGGTGGCGGCTTTACCCTCCATACCATGACACTAGTTCCAACTTGTGTCTAATAAAATGTAGCTTTGGAACGATTTGCTCTGTTCTTGAATTTAAGTTATATGTGCATTGTATCATGTAATATTGTCTGACAGCTTTGGAATTTTGTATTCTGTTTAATTTATTTGTTTTTGTTTATTTTTAAAGTTTCAACACTTCCTTTCCAGTTTGGGTTTCAGTTTAAATACTGTGTTACCCTCTCTCGAAGCTCACTGCTTTTTACTCATCAGCTTTGTTTTGTCTTCTGATAATCGCATTGAAGATCCTGTGGTTTTGTCTAGCTGGCATTTTTCTGCCAGAACCTTTGTTCATAGGTTTTGCCACATTTAGCTTAAGACCTTTTAATATATCTGTCATAATTGTTTTAAATTCTCTAATGATTTCAAAATCTGATTTTTAAAAATTGTGTCTCTTTTTGGGGGGTGGGAGGGTTATGTGCTAGGTATAGTAGGCAAAGGACAACAGAACCCGAAATGAACAATAATTTTTCCCAGAAAAATATTCCATTCTTCCTTGGGAGTGTTTGTGTGTTGAAGGATTGTGTGTGTGGCAGGGGGAGGTAGGAGGGGAACAGGTTACTCAGTGATGGGCTGGAGTTGGACTTTGTTATTGCAGTAGTTCACAGAACCAGTGGTTTTAAATTCCTGCAGCCATTGTACTGCTGTCACACAACGCTTCGTGTAGACTTTGGAAGGCTGAAGTGTTTTCTTAATGTTTTTCAACTTTGGCGTTTAGTGTCTCCTTGGATTCCTATATCACAGGAAGATGTTTTTCCATGTTCTTTGTAGCTTTTGATGAGTTCCTAAACAGTGTGAACTTTGTATTATTAAGTGTCTGTGTTTTTTATTTCTTTAAGGAGTGTTGAGTTTCAGTTTGGGTCACCTTGATCTTTTTATTATTTGTAACTTTTGTTATGATTTTTATTAGCCTAGCTTTTATTTATTTAGTGAACTTAAGCTTATGAGCCAAATCTGGCCCATAGCCTCTTTGTGTATATTGCTTGAGCTAAGAATCAGTGTTATAAAGAGTTGTAAGGAACAACAACAACAAAAAATAAGTAAATAAAAGTTTAAAGAGTGTGTGATAGTGATTGTGTGTGTCCCATGTTGCCTAAGATAAGAAAATATTTCTAGGGCCTGGTGCTATGGACTGGTGGCTAAATCCTCTGCTTGCAACTGCTGGGATCCTATATGGGTGCTGGTTCCTGTCTCAGCTGCTCCAATTCCTGATCTGGGTCCCTTCTTGTGGCCTGGGAAAGCAATAGAGGATGGCCCAAAGCTTTGGGACCCTGCACTTGGGTGGGATGCCTGGAAGAAGCTCTTGGTTCTTGACTTTGTATTGGCTCAGCTCTTGCAGATGGAAGATCTTTCGTTCTGTAAATCTGACTTGCCAAGAAAAATACATACATCTTAAAAAAAAGGGCGGGGTTATTTCTCAACCCTACTTATTTATCCTTAACTTCTAAGGTGTTTGTTTTTTAGAATTTTAGAAATGCTACAGGTTTTCTTTTCCTTTTGATTTGTTCTGTTTTAAAGATTTATTTTAATTGGAAAGTCAGATATACAGAGAGGAGGAGAAACAGAGAGGAAGATCTTCCAACTGCTGGTTTACTCCTCAGGAGGCCACAGTGACTGGAGCTGAGCCGATCCGAAGCAAGGAGCCCAGAGCCTGGAGCCTCTTCTGGGTCTCCCATGTGAGTGCAGGGTCCCAAGGCTTTGGGTTGTCCTCTACTGCTTTTCCAGGTCACAAGCAGGGACCTGGATGGGAAGCAGGGCAGCCTAATTAGAAACCAGTGCCCTTATGGGATCCTCGCTCATGAAAGGCTATGCTACCATGCTGGGTTCAATACAGGGTTTCTATATGGCATTTTCTTTGAATTTGACTGGAAATCATGGATTTTTCAGTATTGTACAATGTCTGAGAGGTGTTCAGGTACTCGTATTTAGTTTTTCTTTCTTTGGTAATTGTTCCTTGCAGCTTTCTGAAGATTTTCTACCCATGCATAGCTTCTATACCCAGGCAGTAATTCAGAGATTATGCTATTCACATTTTTGGAGCTTTTTCTCTAGTCAGTTACTTACCTTTTAGTATATAGATGGGCAGAATACACTCACTTTAAACTTCCTGACTGTTGCTGTTTGTCTTTCCACCTGGCAAACATAACTGTGCTTTGTTGGAATTGTCCTTTCTTTGCTAGTGTTTACTAAATGTCCCTTGAGGAAAGATCCAGTGACCCTAGGATTTACTCTTCATGCTAATCTTCTGTTAGGTATTACAGTTATGTCTGTTCATCACCTAAAATCTCATTAGATTACTTAAATGTGCTTTTTAGGTTTTCTAGTTCAGATAAACAAACAGTACCAGTTATTCTGTCATGGTTGGAGGCAGCAAACATTAATAAAAATGCTTTTAAGTTTCTGGTGTAGTATAAAAGCCATAATTGTAATTTACCTGTCAAATCTCTTATTTGTTGTAAGTTGATTGTTTTTTATGGCATTTATAAGAGGTGTTATCAGGGTATGGAAGAAAATGTGGTTTCAGGTTTGTTATGCATCTTGAGTTCCTACTGTGTGCCTCGGGCTGTATACATCTTGCTGAGGACAGGAAATAAAACATCAGTTGTGAGTCAAGTCTTCAGAGAGAAACAGAGCAGCACAGAGGAAGCAGGCTACCTGGGTTCTTGCCTCACAGGGAAGAATTTCCCTAGAGACCATGCAGTGAGCAAAACAACATTTATTAAAGATAGAAATCTCCTAGCACAGCAGTCAGGAGGAGGCCTCCAAGAAAGGATGGTCTGAGAATCTGGTCAAAGTGGAATCTCTTAAGCACAATTTTTTGGGATAAAATAGAAGACAATTAGCAGTCAATTACAGGGTAGGGGCAAAACTCATCAAAGGGTTAGAGTGGTAATCTTGTCTAGCTTGTTTAAAACACAAATTCATCAGAAGAGTGTGATTGGTAACTTCTTCCATTCTCACGATAAACTCGAGTCTCAGAAGGGTACAGTTCTGGCCTTGATACTCTCATGATGAGGTTGGCATTTTGCCCTGGGAAGGCAGTGTCTGGGAGAAACAAGCATATTATATACTTTCAAAAGGACTCCACTTTTTTTCATTCCAACAGGGGCCTGGCCCTCTCTACCAATCTAATTCTAGCAAGCTATTTAGCATTGTCTGTTGCTTCATAGTAAATCACCCTAAATAGTAAGGGGTTGAAAGGAACAATTTTTGTTGTCTGTTGGTCAGAAATGTGGGAATGTGGCAGGTACCCTCAAGTGGGTTAAGCTGCTGTGTGGGTGGATACTTCCCAGAGTGGAGTGCCTAGTCCAGGTTCTGGCTGTTTACCATGCCTCTGATCTAGTTTAATACTGATGTATCTGGGAGGCAGAGAATGATGGCTCAAGCTCTAGGGTTGCTGCCATCCACATGCGACATGTGCATGGAATTCCTGGCTGCTGGCATCTATCTGGCTAGCCCTGGTTATTGTGGCATTTGGGTAGTGAACTAAACAGATGTAAAAATTCTCTCTGTCACTCTTGTCAGAAAAACAAATCTTGAAGGAGGGAGGGAGGGAGGGAGGGAGGGAGGGAGGAAGGAAGGAAGGAAGGAAGGAAGGAAGGAAGGAAGGAAAAGAAAGAAAAAGAATGCAGAGTTGATTTAATAAAATAAATCCTTTAAAGAGACACAAACCAGAACAGCAATGATGTCACAGCTTGACTAGTAATTGCTTGTTTCCATGTCCATACTCATGGTTATTGGATTCAATCACCTGTGAAGTTCTGGAGGCTTAAGTCAAGTCCTTCCAACAGTGGCCTTTCCCTGGGGCAGCTCCTGGTAACGTGTCATCACAGTGAGCAAGTACTATATGAATAAGACAGAAACTGCAGTTGTTTGTGGCCCATTTCAGAACACAGTCTATATGAAATACATTAGATTAGAAAACAGTGTTTTGTAAACGGTAGGAGAAATAGTGGAATAAAGATAGTGTTCTTGATTTCCAATTGGGTTACTGTTGCTGTTGTTGTTTTAATTTAGTTTTCATGAAATTCTCAGTGAATGCAGTTCCTTTAGTTGTAGAACTAGTTAACCTGTTACCTGGTAAAGCCCTACTCTGTGTGTGTGTGTGTGTGTGTACGTAGGATACAGCTGCCAGTGTTTACTCTTTGTATTTGTTGTTAGGCAGCTGGATTATCTTCCGGGTTGTTGATCAGACAATGCTGATATTTACATTTTAAGTATATGAATCTCAGCATATGCTATTTTACATATACTAATATTAACTTATATACATTTCTTGCTCTTTCCACAGAATGTACAGTTTATGAAACACAGGACAGTAAGACGCCCGCTCACATCTCCTGGAGGATCTCTTTCAAAAATCCAGCCCTGGGGCACCAGAGAGCAGGAGTGTGGGAAGCATCATGTGCTGAAGCGGCGGACCTCGGCTCACCTGTGCCCTAACAGAGTTACAATGTTTTCAATTCTCTGAGCTTGGAATTCAGGGGAGTGAGTTGAAAATCTGAAGATGCGGCCATGGAGTGGTTCCTGGCGTTGGATTATGCTCATTCTTTTTGCATGGGGGACCTTGCTGTTTTATATAGGTGGTCACTTGGTACGAGATAATGACCACCCTGACCACTCGAGCCGAGAACTGTCCAAGATTCTAGCAAAGCTTGAACGCTTAAAACAGCAGAATGAAGACTTAAGGCGGATGGCTGAATCTCTCCGGTAAGTTTGAAAATTTTGGGAAAATAGTGGAAAATTTTTTTGTTTGTTTTTGTGTATAGAATTTCATTCAGTTATCAGAAAATAGTTACTACTTATAAATCATCTTGCTGAAAAGTTAAATATCTTAGTAAATTAGTGTGTGTCTATTTAAAACAGAGAAATTCTTTGTAGTGGTTTATTTCATTTTGCATTTGAATTTCATGTAGAAAATGTTGTTAATTTTATAAATTTTCATTTATGGTTATTTACAGCATTTTTATATATTCAATCTAAAATTAAATTAGTGTTTAATAAAACTTTTACTGTATGGGCCTGGAGCGGTGGTCGAGTGGCTAAAATCCTCGCACAGAATCCCACATGGGATCCCACATGGGCACCGGTTCTAATCCCGGCAGCTTCACTTCCCATCCAGCTCCCCCTGCTTATGGCCTGGGAAAGCAGTTGAGGATGACCCAAAGCCTTGGGACCTTGCACCTGTGTGGGAGACCTGGAAGAGGTTCCTGGCTCCTGGCTTCGGATTGGTGCAGCACTGGCTGTTGTGGTCACTTGGGGAGTGAATCAGTGGACAAAAGATCTTCTTCTGTCTCTCCTCCTCTCTGAATATCTCTGACTTTGCAATAAAAATAAATAAATCTTTATTAAAAAAACAAAAAAACCTTTTACTGTATGGATTACAACAAGGGCTACTGAGTTAATCTCTAATATACTTAAATGAAGGAACAGAACTTCCTTTTTAAAAACTGAATCTGGAAATATAAAGGATGACTTGCTACGTCTGGTTTATAAAAATTGTGACATTTACCTGTTAGAAGGCGTTAATTATTTAGGAAAGCACAGTGTAATATTTCCAAAGAAAAAGTGGACAGGGTGATACAGGTGACAGAGTTTGCGAAGTTTCAGAGTAACAGAATCATCATTGCTGCCTCCCATGGCCTGCTTTAGCAGAGAGCTGGCATCAGGAGCTGAAGTAGGATTTGAACCCAGTTATCTGGATGTGGAACATAGTCCTGTTAGAGTGGTGGCTTGATCACTGAGCTAAATGCCTGCTCCACTCTAATTTCTTAATTAGCAATGTTCAAAGAAGAAAGGAACAGGAATTGCAGGGTCTTCTTAGGCTGAACATTGGAAGCAGCAGCCTGTGATTTTTGACACAGTCTATTGGTCAGTGCAAGTCACAAGACCACACTGTATTTGAAAACAGAAGAAATGTTAGACTCTACCTCTTGGTTACGAGTAATTTCTATACATATTAAACATACCATTGTTGTCTCCCAGAAATAAGGTTGAATACAGTGGTTTCGGCCAAAACATGGTAGATGTTAAGTTGCCAAAGCTGACTTTTAGATATGATGTAATAAGCCATAAGACACCGTAATTAATTTTCAGCAAGGAGTGATAGAATGAAAGTGTTTGAGGAATATTTAATTTTCCAATTATTTGGGCTGTTCCTGACTGAACATGAGAAATTAGCTAGCAAAGAAACTGTTAATCTAGAAATGAGGTAATACAGATTTAGGCAAAATAATGGTTCAATCTATTGGTTTTCATGCTTGGATTTCTTACATGTTTGTGCTTATTTGGCTCTTCATAGAGATCTTTTTCTTACTTGATAAATGCTTGCATCTTTGTTTTTTTCATTTAGCATAATATATTTTAGATTTATCAATGTTTATTGATTATATCGACAGTTCATTAATTTGTATTTTTGAGTAGTATTTTTGTTCCTTTTTAATATTGAGAAGTTTTGATATCAAGCATGATACACATATAATAGGCTGTTTTTTTAAAAAGATTTATTCATTGTGTTTGAAAGCAGAGTGACAAGGAGGGCGAGAGAAGGAAAGGCACTGAGGGGCGGGGAGTCAGGAAGATAGAGGGAGAGAGATACCGAGACATTGAGAAAATGATCTTCCCTCCAGTGCTCAGTCCCAAATGACCCGAATGACTGCAACAGCTGGGCTGGGTTAGACTGTAAGCAGGAGCCAGGAGTTCCTTCCAGGTCTCCTACATGGGACCATCTTCCACTGTTTCCCAGGTTTGTCACCAAGGATCTGGATAGAAGTATAAAAGCTAGGACTTGAACTAGCTCTCTAGCATGGCATGAGGGTGTTCCGTGCAGCAGCTTAACTTGTGCTGGGCAACAATGCTGGATACTAGGCTGTTTTATTTATTTCTTTATTATAATAACTTAGGCATTTTTATTTCTCATCCTTTTATGCATTTTTGTTTTGTCCTTCCTTTATTGATGTTATGAGCTCATAAGTGTTTTTGTTCCTTGGGGTATAAACTGACTGCGTTGCCTTCCAGTTGTAGTTGAAGTTTACTAGAAAATACCTGCAAAAATATCAAAGTTTATATACAAAAAAAACCCCACAGCCTGGATGAGTGTTGAAATGTCACAGAGTTGTAAAATATGGTAGAACGCTTAATTGACAGCTTTCCTCTTAATTTAAATCTCTGTTAGTCTACACTCATTTATTTTTGAGAGCGTAAAAAATTCAAATACACTTTTGGGAGCCTGTTGTTCTTTGGTCCTGGAAAAAAGAGAAAGAGATGCTAGCAGTAAAAACTGTAAGTTTGCAAGCCACAAAGAATGTGTAAGTGATTCATGACCCGTTTTTCTGTTCAGATAGATTATAGCCAGATCATGAATCTTTTGGTGGAAGAATGTGCCAGGCCGCAGCAGTAGGGAATGCTTAGTCGTGTGGAAGGCACTTGTGTGGTTCTTCACAGGTCACGTGTTCTGTTTGGGAAACTTGTAATGGGAAGTGGAAAGGGCTTTGCTCTAGTTAGTTGGCTGGGCATTTCCTCTGGACATTTTTCTTTAGAACTGCTAATCTGTCCAAGAATAAATGACATACTCCGGCATGTGCAGAGAACCTGCCATGTGGTTGTAATCCCCCCCCACCCCTTTTTCAGTTTGATATTTGTTATGTTATTAAGAATATCATATGTTTCTTATGATAATATTTGTTTCCTGCCGGACAACATTTTAATGGGGGTTTCTCAGTCAGGACTCATAAAGTTACTGGCTTGGTCAATTGGTATTTCTATTATTTGTACTAATCTTTTGTTTATTATTGATGTTTATTGCCATTGTTCTATTTTAGATTCTTTGTGTTACTGAGATAGTGTTTTTTCCTGTGTTCTTTGTCTATATCTTGTTTTATTGATTGCTGCTAGTTTGGTTTCATTTCCTTTCTTGTAATCTGTACAAGTGTGTTTATGTGTGTGCCTACTCTCCATTTTAAGGCTGTTTCCGAAGGAGATTTATTGATCTTCCAGTACAAGTTAAGAGCCTATATTCCTAAGTGCTTTGGAGAAAAGTATGTTGGATTTCAGGATTTTTTTTCTTTTGGTTTTGGTTATGGGTTTTTGATTTTGAAATGTTTATATTGACTCTGTTAGTTGAATCTCCTTGATCCAAATCCAAATTGAAGATTTTCAAGATGTGTGGATTTTCAGTTTTCAGATTGAGAATCTTCACACTGTATATTTAGTGTGTTTACTTCTAAGTACAGCCTGAAGTTATAGCTGCATATGTTTTGATGATGTCATATTTTTATTGCCAGTCAGGAAGAAATATTTTCAGATTTGTATTGTGATCTTTTGACCTATGGCTTTCTTGCAGTGTGTTCTTCAGGTTCCAGTTGATCTCTTTTGTTTATGTGTTTCTTTTATTTCCAGCTTGTTGTGTAACCATGCAGAATTATATTCTGTGTCATTTTGGTTCTTAGCAAATGATTTATGTTGGTGAAATTTAAGAAGACTGTATATTCAACAGTTCTTAGATCTTCTAAATATGTCATTTAAGTTAGCTTTATAGTATTATTTAATTACTCAAATTTTCTAAATTCATAAGATTATTTTTGAAAGATTTTTAAAAATTTGTTTGTTTAAGAGGCAGAGTTGCAGTGGAGTGTGCGTTAGAGGTCTTCCATGTACTGGTTCAGTTTCCAAGTGGCCACATCCAGTTGATCCAAAGGCAGGAATTCCTTGTGGGTCTTCCACGTGGGTGCAGGGGTCCAAGTACTGGGAGTCCTCTGGTACTTTCTCAGCCATGTTAACAGGAGGCTGGATCTGAAGTGGAGCAGCTGACATTTGATCTGATGCCCAAATGGAGAACCCACTCTGTATACAGTGGCTTTATCTGTCATATCACAGCACCAGCCCCTATACAGATTATTTTTTTTTTAATTCCTATTTTGTCATCTATATGTTAAAGTCCCTCACAGAACTTGTAGACTTTTTTTGCTCAGCTCTGTTAACTTTTGTTTTATATATTTAAGGGCTGTTTCATTTGGCTAGTGCAAATTTATAACTCATTTCTGTGAAAAGGATCTACACATTCTTTAATCATGAAATTTCCTTATTGATATCTAGAAATACTCTGATTATGAAGTCTAACTTCTTTATATTAATGTTGCTAAACCAACTTTCTTTTGGTTGGTGTTTACATTTCTGCTTTTAAGTTAAACTACCTTGTATCCTTCTGGCAGAATAGAGTCCAGTCTTGTTATTTTCATCCATTCTGACAATTGTTTATTATTTTGTTCATTTACATGAATTATATTTTAATTACTGATTTAAGACAGCTTCCTTGCTCTCTTTGTCTGTTTCTCATTTATTTCATCTTTTTCATCCTATTTTTTTCTAGTTTTTCCATATTGAGTTATTTCCTTCAGTTTGAAGAATGCCCTGAAGCGTTTTTATGTAGAGCATGGCTCCTGACAATAAATTATCTGATTTGTGATTGATTATAAAATACTAGTCTGCTTTCTGTTAATGATAATTCATTGTCACACCTAGGCACATGATCCAAGACAAGTTTATTTTGACTCTCAGTGCTGGCGTTTGAAGATGGCGAAGGGCGCTTCCTGGCAGGAAGTAGGGACCGTGTGTGTGTGTGTGTGTGTGTGTGTGTGTGTCTGCTGAGTGGGAGCACAGGAGCACAAGCGTGCTCAAGTCACAGCACATCCCTAGCTGATTCGTGTGGATTT